CCGCCTGGGTTCGCTATGGCATCTCAGGCTGCTGGCTGTCACTGGCGGCTGTGAGGAGGAACGCGCCGCTGATCTCATGTGCAGCGGCGATTGTCACTGGCGGCTGTGAGGAGGAACGCGCCGCTGTTCACATGTGCAGCGGCGAGTTCCTCCTCACAGCCGCTGCTGAGTCGGTGACAACCAGCAGCTTCGGAGGAGGTGGCTAGGCCCGTCGTCGGCAGCGATGGAGGAGGCGGGGCCCAGTGATCGAGTAAGCAGGTCTTAGTGATGGGGGAGGCGGGGCCTGACAATCGAAAGAGGTGTGCCTCACATGCCGTAATGAAAATGCACCTCCTGTGGTCACACCCTAGAGGACACGTCTCCAAAATGTCCTGAGAGCGGCCCAGGGATAGTTGTCCCCCTCTGCACCTCCTGTGGTCACACCCTAGAGGACAAGTCTCCAAAATGACCTGAGAGCTCTGGAATTCCTCCATTCTTTATCCATAACCTGCTTCTTTATGAAGGTGTGTGAGAGGAGAATGGTCTGAGGAAAGTTATTCTCAATCACACTCTCCAACTTGCCCATGATGCAACGGGAGACTTTAATGGGTTCCTCAGAGCAATCTTCGTCCAAATACACTTCACCATCATTCACTTAAAGGAGTCCCCCCCCCCCCCCTCATAGTTCTACTTTAAAGAGGTTAATTTGGCATTCCCCCTATGTCTCAGGACCTTCAGGAGGCGCTGGGACTTCAATTGATAATGGTTCAATATTGTAGTAAGTATATCAGGATATGAAGAGCTCTCTGGCTCTGGTAACGCCTTCACTGGGTGACAGACAAGAACAAAAACTGAGAAATAAAGCAGCAGAAAGAGCGCCGATCCAGCTGTGGACCCTCCCCCACACATGGGCCAAGCCAATCACAAGCCACATCAGCTATGACAGCTGCCATTCTATGGCTCTTCAGGGGCGGCGCCGATCCCACATTGTACTACACCAGCTTACAGCGAGCTGAAAGAGTGAAACCAGCTAGACTGTAATATGTGAATGGTTGCTGGAGGTCGGGAAGTTGAATCCCTCCCACTTTTTAGATTTTTGCAGGAAATGAAGCGGGTCAAGGACAGTCAGACTGGGGAGGAAAAGGCTAGATGATGCTGGATGCCCGCCGGACAGGAAATGAGTTGATATCTGACTTGCTGCAGCTTCTAATGCACATTGTGAGAAGCTCCCAGTGTGCAGTGACATCAGAGGAAGAGGGGAGGAGCCGGGACCACTGTGCAAGACTGAAGGGAAGGATGGAGGTCAGATAGAAGACTGAAGGGAAGGACGGAGGTCAGATAGAAGACTGAAGGGGAGGACGGAGGTCAGATAGAAGACTGAAGGGGAGGACGGAGGTCAGATAGAAGACTGAAGGGAAGGACGGAGGTCAGATAGAAGACAAGGGGAGGACGGAGGTCAGATAGAAGACTGAAGGGAAGGATGGAGGTCAGATAGAAGACTGAAGGGGGAGGATGGAGGTCAGATAGAAGACTGAAGGCAAGGCCGGAGGTCAGATAGAAGACTGAAGGGGAGGACGGAGGTGAGATAGAAGACTGGAGGGAAGGACGGAGGTCAGATAGAAGAATGAAGGGGAGGACGGAGGTCAGATACAAGACTGAAGGGAAGGACGGAGGTCAGAGGTCAAACTGAGGGGGAGTACGGGGGTCAGATAGAGGACTGAAGGGAAGGACAGAGGTCAGATAGAAGACTGAAGGGGAGTACGGGGGTCAGATAGAGGACTGAAGGGTAGGACGAAGGTCAGATAGAAGACTGAAGGGGAGGATGGAGGTCAGATAGAAGACTGAGGGGAAGGACGGAAGTCAGATAGAAGACTGAAGGGAAGGACGGAGGTCAGATAGAGGACTGAAGGGTAGGACGAAGGTCAGATAGAAGACTGAAGGGGAGGATGGAGGTCAGATAGAAGACTGAGGGGAAGGACGGAAGTCAGATAGAAGACTGAAGGGAAGGACGGAGGTCAGATAGAGGACTGAAGGGTAGGACGAAGGTCAGATAGAAGACTGAAGGGGAGGATGGAGGTCAGATAGAAGACTGAGGGGAAGGACGGAAGTCAGATAGAAGACTGAAGGGAAGGACGGAGGTCAGATAGAGGACTGAAGGGTAGGACGAAGGTCAGATAGAAGACTGAAGGGGAGGATGGAGGTCAGATAGAAGACTGAGGGGAAGGACGGAAGTCAGATAGAAGACTGAAGGGAAGGACGGAGGTCAGATAGAGGACTGAAGGGTAGGACGAAGGTCAGATAGAAGACTGAAGGGGAGGATGGAGGTCAGATAGAAGACTGAGGGGAAGGACGGAAGTCAGATAGAAGACTGAAGGGAAGGACGGAGGTCAGATAGAGGACTGAAGGGTAGGACGAAGGTCAGATAGAAGACTGAAGGGGAGGATGGAGGTCAGATAGAAGACTGAGGGGAAGGACGGAAGTCAGATAGAAGACTGAAGGGAAGGACGGAGGTCAGATAGAGGACTGAAGGGTAGGACGAAGGTCAGATAGAAGACTGAAGGGGAGGATGGAGGTCAGATAGAAGACTGAGGGGAAGGACGGAAGTCAGATAGAAGACTGAAGGGAAGGACGGAGGTCAGATAGAGGACTGAAGGGTAGGACGAAGGTCAGATAGAAGACTGAAGGGGAGGATGGAGGTCAGATAGAAGACTGAGGGGAAGGACGGAAGTCAGATAGAAGACTGAAGGGAAGGACGGAGGTCAGATAGAGGACTGAAGGGTAGGACGAAGGTCAGATAGAAGACTGAAGGGGAGGATGGAGGTCAGATAGAAGACTGAGGGGAAGGACGGAAGTCAGATAGAAGACTGAAGGGAAGGACGGAGGTCAGATAGAGGACTGAAGGGTAGGACGAAGGTCAGATAGAAGACTGAAGGGGAGGATGGAGGTCAGATAGAAGACTGAGGGGAAGGACGGAAGTCAGATAGAAGACTGAAGGGAAGGACGGAGGTCAGATAGAGGACTGAAGGGTAGGACGAAGGTCAGATAGAAGACTGAAGGGGAGGATGGAGGTCAGATAGAAGACTGAGGGGAAGGACGGAAGTCAGATAGAAGACTGAAGGGAAGGACGGAGGTCAGATAGAGGACTGAAGGGTAGGACGAAGGTCAGATAGAAGACTGAAGGGGAGGATGGAGGTCAGATAGAAGACTGAGGGGAAGGACGGAAGTCAGATAGAAGACTGAAGGGAAGGACGGAGGTCAGATAGAGGACTGAAGGGTAGGACGAAGGTCAGATAGAAGACTGAAGGGGAGGATGGAGGTCAGATAGAAGACTGAGGGGAAGGACGGAAGTCAGATAGAAGACTGAAGGGAAGGACGGAGGTCAGATAGAGGACTGAAGGGTAGGACGAAGGTCAGATAGAAGACTGAAGGGGAGGATGGAGGTCAGATAGAAGACTGAGGGGAAGGACGGAAGTCAGATAGAAGACTGAAGGGAAGGACGGAGGTCAGATAGATTATTATTATAGATATATAAGTGATTATTCTTATGGGATTTGTATATTTTGTATTTAGTTTTTCTTGCTCTACATTGAGATTCGTTGGTGAGAAGTGAACTTTATTTTTGGATATAATAGGAAATGGTTGAAGCACTTGTCAGTTTTTGTTTTTTTGCCATCTCTATGTTTCATTGGGAAGATTTCCCTCCACTTCCTGTCTATGAGACACAACAGGAAGTGACAGGAAATCGCTCCAAGTGAGGACAGCTCTTCTGTGTCACTAGAACAGATGTCCCCAGTGGAAGATTTCCCCTCTTATTCCTGATTTCTCATTACTTTCTGTCGCAGGCACAATGGTCCGCAGGACAAACAGAGCGGGAGAATCTCTGAGGTGGGGAATCTCGGAAGCGGTGGAGATTCACTTTATCCAAGGTCTGGCAGTCGCCTCCACATCCATTGCCTGATCTCACACACTGTCTCCCAGCCTCTGAGTGTGCATTACAGTGCTAACTCATAGTTCCCTCTAAAGCTAAATTTGTCTTTAAATTTATTCCTCAATAGCCGCAAAAGATATAAATCCACTTTGCGTGCACCAAATTCCTTTGCTGACCCAGATATTATCCAGTAAAAGAAGCAGTGACATCATCATCATGCTCTACCTAGCCTGTGCAGAGCTGTGGGAGAGGAGGGGCCCACCACCCCAGATAACTACAGAAGGGGCGTTGCTGTAAGTTGTCTTTTAAAAAAGCATATGCACCATATTTTTCCTAGTTCTCTGCCTCAATGTCAAGCCAGAAGCTAGTCCGGATGGAGCGGGGAAGGTATCAGGAACCCTGGTACTTCGCTGCTATCCTGCTTCCTGTCCCACTGACCACAGTTTCACCAGACAGGAAGTGAGGGGAAAAATAGGGAAACGGGCAGAACATCTGAAAGGGGTTCTAGTCTATCCCTACTAAGTGTTTTTACTTCTGTCTCAGTGGCTTTCGAAGAGTTCTCCTCACTTCCTGTCTGATACAACTTTCAGACCTGGACAGGAAGTGAGTAGAGATGCCTCTAAGGGAGCCAGCAGGGTTTCTGATCCTTACCCACCCTATGCAGAACTAAGGGAAGAGAGATTGCGCTGGACATACACTTTAATTGATGCGCAAAAGACCTTCAAGGGGCCTATTGTGGTCAAGGACAGGAAGTGAGGAGAGATTTTACAACCATCGCAAGACTAAAGTCTTGCGATGGTTGTACAGTGTATGGCCACCTTAACGGAGCCAGTAGGGTTTCTGATCCTTACCCACCCTATCCAGGACCAAGGGAAAAAAGTTTAGTCTGGACATACACTTTAATTGATGCCCTCGCGGCTCAGGTCATTGCGCAAAAGACCTTCAAGGGGCCTATCGTGGTCATGAAGTGGGGC